GGTTTGTCTCCAACAAAAGTCTTTTTGATTTCGACTTTTTACCTAAAAGAGTCAATTTACAGATTTAATGTGAAATACAAAAAAAAACAAAGGAAAAAAAAAAGTCAGAAGAGGTTTGCTGTATCACCTATTGTTACTATGTTTAAACATACACACCGTTTCACCCTTGCCTCCTTTTTGCCCTCACACTTCGAATTGTTGTAAAAACAGCATCAATAATTAATGATCCAATTAATAGTTTACACTAGTTTTTATTGAGCTGTCAGAATGATGGAAAGCCTGGAGTCGGTGAACTCCAGCCATCGCCTGCGCTCTGCCTTCCACCTGAATCAGCACTTTGAGGGAGCCTCGGAGCCGGGGCGAAACAGCAGGGCTGGGCATGCAGTGCTGATGCGCATAATTTATGGCTTTGATGAGTTTCCTGCTCTCTGAAAAACCACACTGTGCGTTGGTGGGGATCGATGCCCCACTGTGGTGTGGCACTGTTAATAAAGCTTCTGGGAAGGAATGGTGTTTGTAAATGCTGGATGCAAAGTGAGGGGTTGAGTTGGGGAGAAGCATGCCCACGCAGACACGCACAGAAGCAGACAGGCAGGCTCTGATGCAGACGGGCGGGCTCATTGATTGAGGAAACAGAGACAAGACGTTGAACCAGGATTTCAGCAGGACTTTAAACTGGTCTCCTCCTAGGAGCCAGGCTTACGGGAATAAAACTGAGCTTCTCGGTGATCCAAGCCAAAACCCTGAGGGCTCCGCAGAGAAGGACCAGGACACGATCAGAAGACAAGACTGACACGAAAACCCTCTCAATCCACTGGCCACCAGGACACGAACCTTGGAACTACAGCAAAAACAATCAAACAAAACACACAACGCAAAACAATGATCTGGCCTCGATAGCTGGGCTGGACTGAATATAAAGCAGAACCTACAGGTGGATGAGATCAGAGATGATTAGGAACTGGGCAAAACTAGGCAGGTGAATGAAATGAGTAATTAAGGCCAGCTATCAGAGCAGATCATAACAACAAGTAGATATACACATATTATAAATGTAAAGGTTGTGTTCAGCTATAAATGAAAGCCAAAAGCCATAAAGCATGTTGCTGCTGCTTTCAGAACACATTGATAGCTGTATTGAAACATTTATTAATGCTGACTTTATTTCACTAACTTTTAACACTTTGCTACACTTTGCTAATGTCACTAGTTGCAACTAGGAACAAAACTCTACTGCTTTAAGAGGCGGGATTTCCTGAAAAACAGCTAATCACAGGCAACTTATTTTCTTAGATTGGTTTGTTTGTTAAAGGGACAAATGTTGACACGAGTGCTGAGAAACATGTCCATATGCGAGTAGGAGAGAATCTACAGGAGCAAAAGAAAGCAAGAGAACGCAGAGAATGACCATGGACTAGTTCACTACCATGTACTAGTGACATATTAGGGGCCTTTGGGATAGAATCTGTACGCATAAATCAAACTCAAACCGTGCATGGAGAGTAGTTCATTCAGGTTGTTTAGGTGTGTGTTTTAAATAAAACAGCTTGTATGAGTATTGTTTTACGCATCATATCACACTGGTTCAGAGGTCTTATGTCATTTAGGGCCATAGTTTAGAAATCTTGTAGCAAGGCTTGGGAGTGGTAGTAAATGGTAAGGGTTTTGGGAGTGGTAGTGAATGCTTATTTTCTCTTTCATTTAACGAAGAACTAGTACATGTACATGATTGCTGTACTTAAGGGTATAGAGGACAATGTTTTATTCCCAGGTGGATCATCTTAATAAGTGGTCCTCCTAGTTGTCAATCATTCTGGTGATATGTTTACGTAATGCTGTCCTACGTGCTCGTCCTCTTAGCTATATTTTTCTGCACATGGGCACTTTCAGGCTTATATCTATGGTGAGCTAAGGTTTCAAACAGTCACTGAAACTCACCTTTCTCCTCACAGTTCTTTAAAAATGGCAGAGGGTCGTAAGAGAAAAAGTGTCTAGGAAGTGTATGAGAAGAAAAGAAAGGCCTCAGAAGAGGCAGATAAAATGCTTGGGAAGGAGAGTTCTCCATCTTTGATTAATAACAAAGATGGCGCAGGTACAGCATGGTGGAGGAGGAGTTACATGAGCAAAAACAGAAATGTGTGATCATCTGTCAGTCAGTTAACTGAATTCTCTATAAACTCCACTATATAGTTCCCGCTGTATGTGGAAACAGTAAGTTTGTATGAGCTATGAGAACAGCATATTTTAAACAGGGCATGCACTAAGAGAAATGGGCTGGTGCACGCTCTTGCACGCACATTTTATTTGAAGGTGGAGAGGGCGCGTCTTTTAAAACATTGTGAAAATCCTCCACAATACCTTTAAGTACATATTTTGAGTTTACTTTACTTGAGTTATTTTTTTTGGGTGGGAGTGCTTAGAACGTTCACTTCACTACATTTCAAAGTCAGATATTGTACTTTCTACTTCACCACATCTTTAGTTACTGGTTCCTTTTCGATCAGCTTAGCTTTGTAATCCCTGTTGCTGTTTTTCTTTCTTGAAATGCAGTTGGCCACATTATGTTTTTCACAAAGTTCATCCTTAAGAACAGGTATCCTGGATGTTTTAGCTATTTACCTTTTTTAACACAACTGGGTCAAATGGTAGCTCATTAGCAGGCATATGACATGCTGAGGGGGTAATTACTCCGAGGAGAAGAATTAAACATGGAAGAAAGCAGCCCTTGGGACTGAATTTGGACACCACTGTTTTAGAGATTTGCTTGACGTCCCACAAATGTGAGAAACTCAGAACAGATATTATTTGTGGTTAATATATATATATATTTTTTAAGGTGTTATGTGTTGCCATGTGAACAAGTGTTTCAGTAGGATGAGTTCTCCAAGCAGAGTTGTGGTTTCTTTGCGAATCTTTATTCAACCTCAGACCTCTATTCTATAGTGAAAGTGTGAGCAGAATTAAAACACTCCCGTTTTCTTTTTGGTGTGTTTTTAAATGGAAAATAATAATCAAAATAGCCACCCTTTTTTTGTGGCATTTTTATTCTTTTCACAGATGGTTCAGAATTTGTAGTAGAGCGGTTCTTCTGAAAGTTGCAAGGTTCTGTAAAATTAGACAAAAATGTACTGATTTTAGAACATTAAATTTGTACTTTTGAATACTGAAGTACTTTTAATTGAACATACTTCTGAATACTTACATATTTTCAAAAGTGAGTACTTCAGTACTTTCACTTGCAGTTGAGTAAAATTTGATCTTTACATAAGTACTATAGCTATGGAAGCTGAGAGTGGTCATAGTCAACTTTTTTTTTTTCCTTTGCTTTCTTGAGATAATGACATAACTATCTCGTCATGACGGTTGAGCAATTAATTGTTATCACGAGAAAACAGTTATTGATTTCTTGACATAACAAGATTATTAACCTGCATGACTTATAATTTACTCTATGAGTTATTATTTGCATCTATGCCTGTGGGGCCTGTAGTTGTGTGGTCGTAGTGCCGCGTGGGTGCAAATAATCAGTTTCTTAGTTTCCTATTTCTTTTCACTCATTGTCAGGTTGTGGGGGATGATTGGATTTCATGGAATACAGTAGAAAGAAACTGTGTTTTTATAAAAATCTTTAATCTGGACTAATTTTAGGGGTTAATGCCTCTTATACCTGTTACAGGCATAAAGCCGGGACTGTTTAGAAAACACCCGGTGACAGAACAACGGCTCTAAGGTGCCAGAGGCATAGGTGTAATTGCTTATGAATCAGAAGTGGAAGCAAATCATCAAACCAACAACGTTGTCTCTTTACCCAAGAGTTCAACACAGGATTATTTAAAGAATTAAACATAGGCTGCCATGACCTATAGTTATAAATCCTCTCCCGCTTTGTGGTATTGAAGGAGGTAATCAGTTTTAACACATTAACAATCACCTCGTTATAACGAGAAAACAGCTTTTGTTATCTTTAGATAATGAGAAAATTAACTAATTTTTTTATCGATAAAACCACTGTGTAATTACATGAGGGACACGACCGCCCTCGGCTTCTGTAATATCTGAATACTTCTCCCACCACTGTTCAGAAACTTTAAGCAGTGCTGTTGTTTAAAACTTAAGCACCAGTAGAGAAAGTCTTTTTTTTTTCCTTAATAAAAAAAAAAAATATGTTTTAAAAAGAACGGGATATCTCAGAATAATAGAAAATAATCTAATATGCAAATCTAGGCTTTTAAATTGAATTTCCACCAATTTAAACAATAAAAAAGTCCCATGTCTCTATTTACAGTAGCTCTCTAGTGTCCACTTGTAATGTGGGGTTTTGTATAATTTAATACAGGAGCTCTTAATTGTCTGCAGGTATGCTGAGTAAGAAGTAAGAACTTTCATGAATCATGCATTAGTTATTAGTACCTGAGCACCAGCAGTGTTTTACAGGAAACCTAGAAGTTGCATGTTCACCCTATCTGAGTTTGGGCAGTGTGTGGAAGTGTGTCTGTGTGAATGTGCGTATCTGTGTGTGTGTGTGTGTGTGTGTGTGTGTGTGTGTGTGTGGGATATGTGAATATTTGGGTGTCTTGTCGAAGTGATGTTCATGTAATCTATGTGCTCGTGTATGTCCGGTTTGTGGTGTCCTCACTTGTCCCTCTTGCTGTCCTCTCTCGTGTATTCGCGCCCTCCCCCCAAACCCTGCCCCCTCACATTACAGGAGATTTGGATGGCCATTGGTGGGACCATGCGTCATGGCATAGCAGCGAGGCCTCCCCAATGTCTTTGGTGAGACATGTGGAGCCCTGCCCTGACCCTCCCTCCCTCCTTCCCTCCCCACGTCCTGTCCTTTAATCCCATCTCCCTGTCTCTCTTTCTCTGTTTCTCTTTGTCTTTACTGTCCCATGCCCCCCGATCTCCCCGAGTCCTTTGTCATTTCATGTTTCCTTTGTTTTATTTACACCTTTGCATGTTGTTTTTTCTGTTTTCTTTCTGTTTTTATCCCACGCCTGTAGGGGAGAGTCAAAGGGGAAAAAGAAAAACTATTGAGCAGGCATTTATATCCGAGCCGACACACACCTTATCTGAGAGGCAAAAGAAAATGGTGCGCTTTGGGGGACACTCATTTGAAGAGGACTTGGCGTGGTGTGAACCACAGGTTAAAGACTCGGGAGTTGATACGTGCAGTAGCACTACCCTAAACGAGGAGCATAGCCATAGTGAGAAGGTACTGAGAAAATCTAGCCTGCATTTTGTGATTCTTCTTATTATTGTTTATTTTATTTTTTGTTTTTACCCATTCAATATTTGTTTACTTCCTCTCACCAACTTAAATCCGAAAAGAAGTTAATTCTGAATTTTTATTTGTCTAGATTAATTTGGTTTCTTTTTTATTTGATAATTTTTGCTAAAAACAAACAACATTTTGGGATTTCTCTTTTTTTGCTTGCCACCTGTACTTGCTGTTTTGCCCTCCTAATGAAGACACACATGTCACAATAGTTTGTAAAGCCCCTGTCACAGCTTGACGATTTAGACCAGCATATGCATGACGTACGAAAAATCAGCCAAATACTCTAGCGTTCATTGGATAAGTTATGAGTATGTTTTCTATAAGTTATGAGCACTCTGAAACACGCTGGAGTACGCTGAAATGCGCTGTCACATGTTGATGTGCAGGAAGTATTCCAGCGTATGCCATACCTGGGGGATAAGTTACAGGTAAGTTATTTGATCGTAAGTTTCTCATAAGTCCTGGCGTTTAGCTTATCCGAAACCTATGAGTAACTTGTGCATAACTTATGCGTAACTTATTAAGATCTTATCTCCAATGCATATCAATATATCTGATGTGTTCCAGACAACCGCTCGCTGAACGTGTTTCTAGCTTAACGCTACTATATAATGGCATATTGGCAGCATTTCAGTGTAAAAGGGGGTTCACAGGAGGAAACCATCTGTTCTCCTCCAGACTTCATCTCCCTCAAAGGGTGAGCATGAAGGTGAGTGTGATGGATCCTCCCTGCGTTCACGACCAACACTCTTCCAGTAAACAGCTAGCCTCGTGAAACCATCCTGATCTTGCGAGCTTTCAAGATTTTCACTCGTTAATCAGTCTGGCTACTTTCTGTTAAAGAAAATTTGGAGCCGTTCACCAAACGAACGTCCAATCAGCGTTGGCTTTGAGGCGGGTTGAGGTGTGACGCAACGAGAAGCGCGACA